GGGGGGGGGGGGGGGGGGGGGGGGGGGGGGGGGGGGGGGGGGGGGGAGAGAGACTTTGGGAGGCGAAATAACCAGGGTAACTCATGGAGTAGAACCGCTCCGCGGAGCTTTTTTTTGTTTTTTTAAGTTCCACGGAGCGGAGCGGTTTTCTTCATTTGAACATGTCACGAAGCGGTGCGGAGCGGTTTATCCGAGGGCAAAAGTCCCACGGAGCGGAGTGTTTTTTTTATTCATGTCAGGGAGCGGTTTATCCGTGGTGCGTTTTTTTTCACGGAGCGGTTTTGTTTACTCCGTAACATAAACCGCGCGAAACCGTCGCCTTGGGGACGGCTTTCCGTGAAAAAAACAGTCGAAACCGCACGAATATCCGTGCAAAATCGACGGAGTACTGGCAATTTCGTGAAAAACGTTGGATTTGGTACACCGAAAAGCGAATTTCCGCACGGTGTGCTGTGGTTGGAGGCCGCCGGTGACACCATATGCTTCCTCGCCGCTAGGACAGCCCATTTAATCAATTATTCAGAAAGGGACCGCTTCCCGCATCGATACCTCCTCGACTGCTATATTCCTGCAACACGTAAAACAGCAGATGATTCCTCACTTGCCTCTCGTTGAAACTTGTCAGTACTACTGTATATACCTAATAATACCTCCTGCTGTGAAAATATAATAGAAAAAACGAAAAAACGAAAAATACCGTGACTCCGTGGTCAAACCCTGACTTTTTGCGGAATTGCACGTGACTGCATTGCGGTTTTATCCGTGCTCATGTGACGGAGTAGCGCAAACCGCTCCGTGAAAAAAACGCTCGTACGGATTTTTGGGAAGCTCCACGGAGCGGAGCGGAGCGGTTTATCCGAGGGCGAAATTCTCACGGAGCGGGGCGGAGCGGTTAAAACCGCTCCGCTCCGATCCGCTCCGCGGAAAAAAATTCTCCTTGAAATACCCTGGAAATAACGCATCCACCTTCGAGAGCATGAAAAATAGTATTGAAAATACGGGACGCTGAAGAAGACATTTCCATAGCGAAAAACAAATACAGGCGCAACTTCGAGAGAGATACTGTAGATAGAGAGAGAGAGAGAGAGAGAGAGAGAGAGAGAGAGAGAGAGAGAGAGAGAG